CAGCCAGTGGTGAATAATGCTTGCACTAGCAGCCTGCTCTTCCACTTTCAGTGCTTCATTATATTTTGAGAAAACTCTGGCATGTGTCTGTGTCTCATTGCTGTTGCATGTCATAGTAGCATGAGGCACCTGCTTTTATGTACACAATCAATCACCCATGAGAGATGCAGTCATTTTATACAATAGATGCCATGACCAGAATGCTGCTGGCACATGGTCTACTTGTTAGGGATCAGTCACCTCCTGCAGATGTTGTCATGGAAACACTCCAGCTCTTTTGGGGTTTTATCTCTCTCTCTCTCTTTCTTCCACACAGTGGAGCATTAGGATGTTAATAGTATACTCAACACAGTTCAGGTTTCCATGTGACTCCCACGCTTACATAATGCTGTAGCAGAATGGGGAAGTAGGCAAAGTCTTTTAGAGTATATGATCATCATAGAAATTATACTGTATCTATGATGATTATAGGTAGTTTTTAGTCATATCCATCTTTATGTATTACCTCTAAGTGAGCCTGAGTTGAATCAAAAGAAATCAATTTATATTTGAAATCTAAAACAACAACAACAACAGCAACAAAAACATTTCTATGCAAAACAATGTAACAAGTTGACCCTACATATAGGCTGGCTACACAAAAAAGCCTTTAAATGACATTATGAATATTGTTGTATTTCTGTGAAGCCACTAAGTGACAACCATGTTACCCAAAGGGGAATCATGTCAGCCCAGGCATGACTATATAGCCTACACAGCCACATGTTCCTCTTGCTGTTCCTATACACACCAGAGCTCAGTGGAGTGACAAATGTAAGGTTTCTGTGCGCTATCTCCGTTAATGGTTATTTGAAATTGGAGCACAATCATCCATCCATCCATTGTCTGTACCGCTTATTCCTGAATAGGGGAGCCAATCCCATCTGGCACTGGGTGACAGGCAGGGTCCACCCTGAACAGGTCGCCAGTCTATCACAGGGCTAACATGTAGACAGACAACCACAAATACCCACATTCGCACCTACGGGCAATTTAGAGTCACCAATCAATCTATGCTGCACAGGGAGAACATGCAAACTCCAGACAGAAAGGCCCTGGGTCAGCCCGGGCACAAAGCCTTCTTACTGTGATGTAGCAGCGCTAACCACTGCACCACTGTGCCATCCCGGGGCACAACCACGACTAGAAATTCCCAAAGACAGTGGATCAGATCTGATATAATTGCTGCAGCAAAAAAGGTTAACAAGTTTCATCAGACATAAATGGTTACTGAATAACATCCTGTTTTGATTCCCCACCATAAATAATAGAGTATATATAAAGCTGGATGATGTGACAGTTCCATGGGTGTATTATGAGACCTGGATACCACATTACAAGATGACATCCATTCTTCCAGCTGGAAGTTGGCACATGCACTAAAAACGTATTTTTTCAGCTGGGGTTGCTTCCACATTATGAAGCCGACTGCACATGCACATTAGTTTTTGCCTTACACACTCCTGCCCACGTGTTCCTGTTCGGCTCATAGACTTTACTTTGGGATGACATCCCAAAAATAAAACTCAATTTACTAGACTCTAGGAAGGTTTTGCAAATGTAAAACCTCCATGATTAAAGATTCATAATACAATGAGTAATAACTGACCTGGTTTGCAGTTGGAGTTGTCTAGTTAGCAGTTTTTTAGATGTTTCTTTTATCATTGCCCCAGGGCAAGTTTTATTTTATTTTACTTTATTTTTGCAGTACTACAAGTGGGCACTGATAAAAATTGGCTGAATGGCTGAGTATCCAGCTCTTGCAATACACCCATGGACAGCTCCCAGAACTGGAGCCACCACAGGCTTATCACCACTTTGTGGCTGGTTGCAGGATAGATCACTTCACCTCCATTTTAGCAGATCTGACATGTGCCAAATTAAAAATTCAAAGTGCAAACCAAATCATTTTTCCAAATGGTTATTTCTGCATGTTTAAGTGATTTATGTACAAGTGGTCATTCTTCTGATTATATTGTTTTTAATAAGTTATTTGATTATATAAAAAGGGGTGTAATTGGATCATTTGACTGGTGATCTGATACCACAGCTCCACCTCAGGTCACTACTGTGCAGAATCTGGCTGAAAAAAAAACAAACAAAACAAAAAAAACATGACAGCCCCTATAACTGTAATATTTTGGCTTCACTTTTGCATACATTCATGACGAGGTGACTCGTCCTCCATTTTTATATAAAATCCATGCTCCCCAGCAATTTAAACTCTAATTTCTTGTTTGTGTAAGCCATTTGCAATGTGGCAGACTGCTGATTAGATGGTTAGATATATCAAATCAAATCAAAGTTTATTTACATAGGACTTTAAAACACAGCAGCTTGCTGACCAAATTACTTCACAACTAATGCAAATAATACACAGATAAAAATACATAAAATAATTAAAAATGCATGGAATAAAATAAGAAGTTCTATGAATTAAAAGCCAAGGTAAACAAATAGGGTTTGAGAGATTAAGCTTAAAAAGTGCATCGGTAAACTGTTCCAGAGTTTGGGGGCAGCCACAGCAAAGGCTTGGTCACCCCAAGGCCAGCAGCTGGACCTTGAAACTTCTAAGCGGAGCTGATTCGCTTACCTAAGTTCTTACAGGTCTGTAAAAATGCAAAAGTTCTGACAGACAAAGCAGAGTAAGGACATTAAAAGCTTTAAAAACAAACATCAGTAACTTAAAATCAGTCCTAAAATGGACTAGAAACATTATTTTCAAGGTATCATTAGATCTCTCCTAATAAACTTGATTCAAGAGATCAGTCAGTTACTTTCAGAGTGGGATTTGGGAATGCTTAAGGAAAAGATTTGGATGTGATTTAAAGAGGAGTAACAAAAAGTTATCACACACACACATACACATGTAGTATTCTGGAAATCACATTACTGTAATGTGCTTTATTCTCTGGGAGATTTAACTTTAAAGAATATTTTTCCTAAAATTTTTCCTGCTCCTTAAAAAAATAACAATACTTCACACTTCATGACATTCCTCTGAAATCCTGTCATAAACCTTTTGATCTCTTTAGCATATTGCAGATTTCTGAGGATATCCCCCAACTCTCTGGGACGGTGATAAAGTTTTGGTTTTTTTTACCTTGGTGTGTGTGTTTGGAACAGCCTCTCTGTTCGATTGAACATTGACGTCACCCATGAGTGTTGAGCCCTGCGCCGCAGTCAGCCCTGAGATGAATGCACAAGATTTAAATATAGCCTACCTGGATCTCTCGATCTCTCACTCCACCATGTGGGCTCTCCATGTCAGCACAATTACACGTCGGAAAAACACAAGTGAAATTTAAAGAGGTCATTCATATTGTCCAAAGCCAGTTAAAGCAATGATTTTTGGCACACACAGACAAATGTTAGCGATAATGCTGGTTATCTGGAGTACTTTAATTAAAAAAAAAAACTACTTTAAACTCTTTATTTTCTTTCTTTCTTTTTTGATGTTCAATACAACACAGTAATACATCAAATTTTAATTACTTAACCTTTAGGTTAAACTCTTTAACACCTCCTAAATGATAAATGCCTCTGCATTTACCCAAACTACCTGCATGGAACTGTCTGAGACTGAAAAAGAAAAGAAAAGACAAAAAGCTCTGCAAAGTGACAAAATTGCTGACAATTCTGTGCAACAACAAAACAGTCTATCGTTTTTGTGTGATGTCATTCACTTCATTGTACTGTTTGTGTGTGCTTCACACCTTTATTAGAAATGAGGATAAAGGTCCACCTGTGGTATTTGGGCTTATTTATAAAGTGCTGCAGGATGACAGAGGCAAACACTGGCAATAACCCTGTGTGAGGGTGTTGATGAATGATGGTCGGCTCTGGCTCAGTGAGCAAGGTAGAATCAAATCAAAATCAAAATCAAATCAAATTTTATTTGTATAGCGCCAAATCACAACAAAAGTCATCTCAGGACACTTTACAAAGTAAGGTCTAGACCTTACTGTTATCACTATTATTACATAGGGAAAACCCAACAAATCCCCCTTGAGCAAGCACTTGGTGACAGTGGGGAGGAAAAACTCCCTTTAACAGAAGAAACCTCTGACAGACCCCGGCTCTTGGTGGGCGGCCTTCTGCCTCGACCGGTTGGGGTGAGTGGATAGAGGAGAGACAAAAGAAGAAAAGCAACAAGACACAACAATCAAACACTGATCAGGTCGATGTGGCTGGGGACTGCTCGTCAGAGATGTAGAGCTCCAGGGCAACCTGCAGAAAGGGACAGGGAGAGAGAGAGAGGACACACTACGGGAGAGAGGAGACACACAGTTAGTAATGTGTAATGGTGGCATATAGAAGCATAGGGAGAGAGAGGAGAGGGGAGGGGAGGAGAGGAGAGGAGAGGAGAGGAGCGGAGAGGAGAGGAGAGGAAAGGAAGTCATTTTGTAGCCTTCAAGTGCTGTGCATTGATTTGAAACCCTTCAGCACCTTGGACAGTCCCTGTAGCAATTTCCTAACGATCCAACAGGGAGCGCAGTAAGCGCACTAACATACACCGGCAAGCCTGGCTTTATGATGGGGCATCATAGGTGTCCTAGTTTTCTCTGCTTTGAATGGGATCTTTTAGTTAGTTAGTTTGTTTGTTCGTTTTTTAACTTTGATACTACTGCCAATATTTCTGAGGCCTATGCAGTGTCAGAATAACTGATCTACGAGTGCTCTCTCTCTCTCTCTCTCTCTCTCTCTCTCTCTCTCTCTCTCTTCAGCCTCACAACTCCTTTCCTATGTGCTTCCAGCTGCGCATTGAATAGAAACTTTACGGTCAAACAATTAAAGAGAGAGAGAAAGAGAGACTAAGCATGAATGATGTTAAACCGTTGGACCACCTGCAATGTATAGCGACACATGCGTCCAAACGTGGCAAACATCCATGATGTTTGCATAAAACACGCCTATTGGACCCAAGCACCGCTACGGTCACATTTCAACCGGGCAACCCGGCTTGTCAGAGACATCACCGACCTCCCACCCCCCCTTTCTCAGCTTCCTCGGCTTTCGTCTAATTGCATCGTGGTTCTGAGTGAGTGGCCGCGGACCGACTAGCTCTGGTCTGTGCTGTCTGTCTTGGAGTGAGGCTTTCGACTGATGTCTCTGCCTGTCAGGAATTTAAAGTGTCTCTCGCCGGTCATGTGCCAGTGTAAGGTCATCTGCAGCCACCGGACCCTCTCTCTCATGTTCGGGTGCAAGGTAAGCCTGGGGTGCAAGCAGCCGATGTTGCAGTAACGACTGGGTAGTCTGTCTAAATGCATGTGGACTGTTCGTTTGTACAAATATGGAACTAAAAATGTGATAGAGGCCTCTGTAGGAAAATGCGCGTTTATATTTGTGCCAGGACTGATCGTACTGCATGTGCTGTTGGTTATTGCTCATTTAAACCGCGCTTTTTCTCAATAACCTCAGCAGTCACTATAGGGATATCACACTCATATGCTCACAGGTACCAGCTCATTCATAGCTTATTACCTTTACTTCAACGTGTGGTGGGTTTTTCATGCACATACTGTACGTGGCCTGTTTCCATTTACAATAACAGGCGACAACATACTTGGCATGCATGATTCTGCTGGGTGATAGATATGCTTTATTATAAATGTACACTGATATTTAGTGAATGAAACTATCCATAACTGTCTGATGTGTCCCCCTTATTTGAAGGGCAGGTCTGATTAAAGCTAAACATTTGGTCCTTCACAGTCCTACATGCTAAATGGCTCCAGCATGTATGTGGAAAGCTTGTGACCTTGGGAAATGCACTTTATGGCTCAGGGCCAATTATATATCACATACCATCAGAAAAAAAACAGGGCACTGTAAGAGAGGCTTGATTCCAGTGTGAAATCAGGTAACAGTGCCCCTGCTGTGTACTGTTCCCTACCAGCTGATTGTTTTCAGCCACTTATTATCAGCACAAAACAGGCTATTATGTTGAGCTGTGCATTTTGTTGGATTTATTTATTTATTTTGTTGTCAGAGAGAATTCATTCATTCACTGGTTCCCCTCCCTCCCAGCTTCAGGTGCTTCCAGTATGGCAGCCAGCTCTGAGTCCCCCTCCACATGGCACTATGGTCTGTTAGCTTTACAAAGCCAAATCTGACTACACTGGGGCACTTGGGCCAAAAATGGTCCCTACACTTGCCAAAATGATGTGCATATGTGTACAGAGCTCCAGATAATTTGTTTGTTGATTCAGTTCCAACACTGTGATTTGTGTTCTGCCTTGTTGCTAGAGTGCACTTCCTGGATTTGAATAGTGTTGTATATGACATAGGTGGATAAATCTCGTTACGGTGCATTTCATTAACCCCTGAATATTTTTATGTTTCTATATATTTCAGTTTCTATATTTGAATGATACTGCTGGTAAAATGAATGTAGGTATTTGCTTTCTGAAATGGTTCTCCTGCTGTGTGCAGTGTGGAGTATTACCAGCACAGATATGCATCTCTTGTGTCCCCACTTCGCATTCCCTAATATCTTCTGCCATATCTCCATCTGAGACACCATGCCTTCCTTGTAAAGAACATTAAAATTCTCCTCCCACAGATGCAAGTTGCCTCCACCGTCATCATGACCAACCGGTGAAATGTAACCATAGTAAACATTTATTCTGTAATAAACATATTTAATAATGGGATTACCAGCTCAATTAAAAAGAACTGTGCTTGGTTTGCAGCATGTAAGTCTAGTTGTAACAGATCTGGATTATAATAGGGTTCATCTCAGCTCATATTACAAGCATTTAAGCCAAACTTTGTTTTGTAAAAATTGCCCGTGTTGTATCCCTCTGTTGTACCACTGTTAATTCGGCCCATCCTTTATAACATGCTCATCATCCCAAGATTCAAGATAAGCATCTGGTCCATACACATATTACCCATTATGGCTTGTGTCCAGTGTGTTGCAGTCTCATGGTGGGTTGTTAATTAGCCAGAACTTTTGGGATGTACTGTATACTGTGGGGATATGCACTTACTGTTCTTCTATGCCTTGTCCCTGTTGTTTTTTTAACTTTTGCCCTTGGTTTCATTTCCTACATTTTCCAGGACTGACACATTTGCTTAACATCTATGTATCAATAGCTGACATGACCGATCATTTTCAAAGGTGAACTGCCAAGGTTATTTGTTTACACAACACAAAGCCTAGCACGGAGCCTCTCAGTCATCTTAAATTCAGGATCTTAATTAAAAGGGCTTTATACGGTTGGAAGCATTCAGCAGTGCTTTAATTAGCTCTTTTATGTTTAATGCTCCTTGTTGGCCTCACAACATTTAATCAAGACACACTGAAGTTTGTCTTGAAGCTACAATTCAGTGCAGAACTTATATTGAATGCCATGCAGTGTAAACTATCAAAATGACAGAGTTTAAATCGAACCAGATTGCTAATGTAATGGCTGATTTATGACTCATGATGAGTGTGCCTTCATCTCAATATCAAGACCAATGATTACTTCAACACAAGAATCAATTCACTGCAAAATGTACAGGAAAACAACCCGCTGTCATTCATCGCCAGCCAACCGATCAAATGATAAGGAGGGTAATGTAGAAGATATCAGAGTGTGATATGAAAGTGGTTTGCTTTGATACCATGCGATGTGCATTTTGTGTTCCTGTGTGTGAGCTACTGGTTTTACATTTCGCATCCTTACTGTAACTGTTTTTACAGCTTTGCAAACATATATTTCTATTGACTGACCTATTTTTTCTCCTGCTGTTTGTGTCATCTTCCCTTATAAAGAACAGTGAGCCTCACCTCTGACAGAAACTTGGAGAAATGCAGCAACAACAATGTGCAGCAGCAGATATTTACTAATGCTCCATTCAGATTGAAAACTGATCCATTCAGGGTCACCTCTACCTTGCTAACCTGCTCTTACTGGCTCTTCTGCTTTCAAACACTGGCAAATAATAAAAAATAAAGTCAAAAAATAATAATCTTGACTGTAGGACAACAACAAATTATTTATATATATATAAAACCTCTTCACTAAGCATCTGGCATAGATATGCACCATCAACCTTTAAAATTAGATTCAGCCTTAGTGTCGTTCACAGACAGAATCAAAGTAAGTTGCCCTTCAGGTCACTGACATTCATAGAAAACAAAACAGAAGACAGCATTTCTCTCCACAAACCTAAAAGAACCCCTAAAGCCACAACCTGTATCAACCAGAAACATGTTTACCCACTTTTTTGTTTCTAATTAAACTATTGTTAACCAGTCTTACAGCACTGTGTGTTAAAATGGCCTCCACTTGCATGTTTGTGTGTGTGGACGAAAGAGGGCTGTGGGAGGGTTACCGTTACGACCCCCCCCACTACTACTAGGGCAACATGTATATAGAAGTGTATGTACTCAGCATAAAAACGGTGTGTGTATGTGTCTGTGGACAGAGGATGAGGAGGGGAATAAATAATCAAGACTACTGAGTTTTATGTGAGTGAGACCTCCAAAGGGAATTGAGAGGAATTGCTTACACCTAAACTGTAAACTGCAAAATAATATCGCACTGAATTTATTCAGCTAATTAAGTGAAGCTGCATATTAGACAACACAATTATTTATACTGTTGTTTTCTGATTTGTACTGGCAGTTCACACTACCATGAAAAGAAAAACTGTATATTATATTCTTAAAAGGTGAAGGCTTTGTTCTTTTGCAAAAATAATGAATGTTTTTCAAGCAATTATGAAATTACAGTCAGGCCTGGTTTGGTTATGTTTGGGGCCATTTTTCCGCGTTGAGTGGCTGTTTTACAAGCTTTAAGTCAAGGTCATTATTTATCTAGTTTAATATAAAAACTGTAACTTGTGAAATCCACATGATCTTCAGATTTCCTTACATATCATGTAAACACCCCTCCTTTTTTGTCTTACATATAAGCATGAAGTTCATGTGAAACCAGGCTCAAAGACATGACAAGATGGACACCCCCCATCCCACCCAACCCTCAGCAGAAGGACCTCAGCCAGGCACCCGCAATTTACTGCATCTCTGACTCTAATCTGATTATTAAATTTGAGGATGATACATCTTGCGTGGGCCTTATCAGTGATGAATCATCCCACAGAAAGGTGATTCAGAATCTCATTCATTTGGGTTGAATGAACAGAAATGAACAAACTGAAATGTAAGAAAGTATAAACGTTGAGTTTCAGAAATAGCGATGATGCATCCAGGAAGCAGAAAAAATACCTTTCTTTCTTTATTTTTTTTTTAAAATGACTTTTGCTGTTTCACTGTAACACAAGTGACACAAGCCTTCCGATGGTGAGGAAAGCCAAACAACACTTCAGGGATTTAATTATTATTATGATTAAAGAAAGTCTTACGTTGGTTGGGACAGCAATGAGCTTCAAAACATGTATCACATAAGGTTTTTACCTCTTGTGTTGCTGTTTTTGGAGCTTGAATGATGATACATTAATAAATATGCCATAAATCATGAATCATGGATTTCCAGGTAGAAGTCTGGCATTTCATTATTAACGCTCAGAATTACAGGGAGATGAGAGTGACTACACCCAAGAGCATACTGTACTCACTCTACGCTGAGGAGGGCGAATCTAGAGGCTCTTCACAGGGGCATAAGAAGCTCATCTTTGTTGCAGCCCCACCCTCTGATTTAGGCTGGATGGATTCTTGCATTTAAACCCTGCCTGCAGCATTAAGCATTCGTTAAGCGTTCTCCCCCATGGCAAATGTAAAGTCTGTTATTGTCGCAGCATACATAGCTGCAGGATACTAACACTTGTTGAAGTGTTGTGCTGAAACACCTTGGAGAAGAATCTGAAGTTAGCATTGGCAGTGGATGAGTGAATTTCCCTGTGATCATTACATATACATGAAAAAAACTGTTGTACTGCTAGGTGTTGGTTGGCAACAGTAATTGTGATAATGCAAATGAGATGAAAGCTGTGTTAGGGGTTTGGCACTTGAGAAGACACTCGAGAGTGAAAATCAACTGAGAAGGCAACAGTGACTATTCTGATGGACTGTAGTAGAAAAGATAAAGTTCAGAGGCCCATTGGAGATGAACAGTGGTCTCTCATCAGTGGCCTGTGATAACGAATGATGATGCTGTGCAGTAAATGTGCTGTTTTTCTTACACGTTGTCAGCTTGCTTATAAAGCTACTAAGTATTAAGCTAAACTTTGGTGGGTTTAGTGTAGTAAACTGG